GGTGGCTACTGAAAATTGAAACAGTTTAGCCAGTGCCGTGTAGCGGTGAATAAACGTGTTTTCTTTAGTCTGTCCGTGTTTTTTCATAGATTTTATTAGTTTGTGTGTTTTTGACTTTTGAATGCTCAGTTTACTTGTTGATTTAATTGTTGTGTTGATTGTTCTTGTGTGTCCTAAATATGGCTCTTTGGAGACCTTGGGAAAATGCTCCAAGCCACGAGGAGATGTTAATGAACCTGTGCAGGCAGAATTCTTTCATAAAGATTTGGAGGAACAGACCCAAAGAGTAATCCTAAATATGTATGATTGTCTGAAAAACGAAAATCCAGATTCCTCGCAAAATCAAATTTTAAACAGAATTTGTATCCTGACAAAAATCAGTCGGTCTACCATTTATCGGGTTATAAAAAGGGGAGATGTAGTCAACCATTCCTTCCACAGAAAGCGCATAGGGCAAAAATTAAAAAGAATAGACGTGGGTTTTCAGGAAGATATTCGTCGTATAATATACGGATTTTATAAAGAAAATTTGGTGCCCACGTTGGAAATGATACGGGATAAATTAAAAGATTATCCTGAAGATTTTTATAATTACAAATGCTTAGACTCACTGCACTGTATTGTAAAACAGTGTGGTTTTCAATACAAAAAATTAGATAAAAGAATGGTGATTATGGAGTCGTCTCGAATCGTTGAATTGCGCCAAGAATTTTTGCACAAAGTTAAAATCTATAGAGAGCAGAAAAGAAATCTGATTTGCCTGGATGAAACGTGGTATGATACCCATGATGTTGTGCAGTACGGCTGGGTTGACGACAGCAACAAGTGCATTTTAAATGCACCATGCAACCGTGGAAAACGAATCATTATTCTCCATGCTGGCAGTGAAAATGGATTTATACCTAATGCCTTGCTGTTATCTGCCAAAAATATCAAAGAATCATGTGTCGACTATCATGAGGACATGACCTCCGACTTATTTGAAAAGTGGATAGAGCAGCAGTTAATACCAAACATTTCCCCAAATTCAGTGATTATTATGGACAATGCGCCATACCATTCCCGACAGAAAAACAAAATTCCGAATACAGGCACAAAAAAACAAGACATTATTGATTTTATGAAGGATAAGGGAATGGAAATACCACAAAAATCAACCAAAGCCATATTATTGGATCTTATTAAAAGACAAAAATTTGAAAAAGAGTATGTTGTTGACAATCTGCTTCAGCAAAATGGCCATGAAGTATTACGTCTACCTCCCTATTACTGCATTTTTAACCCGATTGACTTGGTCTGGGCTGTTTTAAAAAAAAGTAAGAAAACATAATCAGACCCCTCAATTAAGTGAATCGCTATTGGCCACAATAAGAGATGCAGTATCTCATATTGCTGCCACAGACCTATGGAAGCAGTGTTCTAGGCATATTATTGAAAAAGAAAATGAATATTGTGTTTTGCCTCCTGTAAATCCCGTTGTAATTCCTCTACAAGATGACTCTAGCGACAGCTCCGAAGGCGAGGATGATATATAAATACCTATAATGTAAGTCTTTATATACCTTTTTATATACCTACCTGCTATGTAAATATTTGCCTATGTCAAACGTTGGAATTCTGTAATTTTTCCATTTCTTAACTTTCAGTCAACATAAATTAGAAAAAAATAAGAAGATAGTAAAATAATTATTATTATCGTTCTAAATAAATGACCGCACGCCTATGATACGTCATGAAATTACAAAGGACGCGCCGACCAAAGGTTTTTATGCTATTTCAAGTGACTTCAGATAAAGTATACAATAGGATCAAATTACCAGTCCGCTCTGACCAGACGTCTGTTCGTTTTCACACCTGATTAGCAGTAATAACATACAAATTAACATCCTATATATGATATAGGAGTGCACCTCTCGGTATATGCTTCATTTTTCAGTGAATCTATAAGTGATGTTGGTGTTCAGGTATGTTACTTTTTCGAACGGATAGATATAAAAAATGTTCAATCATATCGATTTGATGCTTTGAGAGTTGCCGTTAAAGTCGAAATGTCAGTGAAGGTCATTGCCTCATTTTCCGAATCGATTTTTTTTCATAATCATAGTTGTGGGATGTTAATTTAAAGTAAGAGTTTGTGGGGCGACGACCAATACAAATTTGCTTATACAATTATACAAATATACAAATTACAAGAAAACTCTTTTTAGTTTCAGTATTTCTGAGTTTCTGCTGCTTTTTTCTATACTTATAATCGATTTAAAGTCTTAAAATGGCTATGTTAACTACTAAAGAGTATTTTGGGCTTAGTTTATTTCAAAATATTGTTATTTAATTGTTCATCTCCCACTGAAGCCGCGTTATAAACATCTAAATACTGCAATCATAAAAATAATAATCTTTAGCCATTTATAGGGTTTTCCAGAATCGCTTATCACTCGAAAATAACAATTTTAGAAAACAAACTCTAAGGACCTTTATTGCTCAGACTGAAAAGCTTTATTGGAAGCGGATAAAACAATTTTTTGTAATTTATTCAGAAACATTTGCACCGGAAACCTCTTGATTCACGTTAAAGGATATCCAACTGATTTGATTATAAAAAAAATTGCGTCAAGTAGGTTGACTATGCACTGCCCGCGCAAAGCCGTCATCAAATCATAAAGCTAGATCATCTGAGGAAAAAGACCGGCACGCCCGCCGGTGAACCCATGCAGCAGAAATGTCTCTACTCGTCTCGAAAAAAAATCTCATTTTAAATTTGAAGAGGAAATCTATGATGTGTAAAGTATGTCTAATAGGCGCCCAGAATTACCGGGGTTTGGAGCGTATAAATATACTAATATCACAAATTGAGATATAATTACTATCTATTACCCTACTTACCCCCAACCCCCAACTTCTTACTCCTACAAAGATATTTGTAAAAGTTTGAGCGAGTTTAATTTTTCGTCTTTTTGCTCCTAGCTCTGCCACCACTGGGCAGATTTTCAAAAACTACAACGCATGTTGTATTCTCATTTTAAGTCTGAAGAGGAAATCTATGATGTGTAAAGTGTGTCTAATAGGTGCCCCGAATTACCGGGGTTTGGAGCGTATAAATATACTAATATCACAAATTGAGATATAATTACTATCTATTACCCTACTTACCCCCAACCCCCAACTTCTTACTCCTACAAAGATATTTGTAAAAGTTTGAGCGAGTTTAATTTTTCGTCTTTTTGCTCCTAGCTCTGCCACCACTGGGCAGATTTTCAAAAACTACAACGCATGTTCATACTTGGTGCGAGTTGTACTTGGCAAGATATAGACGGGCCAAGAATTAGTGGACAGATAGACCGACAGACAGACCGACTAAAATGCGAGACGTGGTTTGTCGTGATGTTCATATTATACACTAAGTGACATATAAATCCGAACACCCAGTTTAAATGGTTTTATTTTAATAAAGTTTTGTATAAGTACTTAATGAAGCATAATAAGTAAATGATAAAAATTTCAAAATGATTGCACTGCTTTAAAGCCCTTTGACCTTTAATAATGTGTGGATGCACCCTGATGTGCTACGCATTCTCCAACGCGCCTAGGCATGCTTCTGATCAGGTGGTCAATATCCTCCTGTGGTATCTCATTCCAGGCAACCACCAACTCCTCTCAAAGTGCTTCTAGAGTCTGAGGAGGACGTTGCAAATTGAGCAATCTCCTACCCATCATATCCCGCACGTGCTCAATTGGGGATAAGTCGGGAGATCTTGGAGGCCATGGTAACAATGTGACATCATTATGTTGAAAGAAGTCTATTGTGACTCTTGCAACATGTGGTCGGGCATTATCTGGTTGGAAAGTTGGATCTGCCAGGGTGTCAAGATAGGGTAAAAGATGGGGTTCTAGAACTCCGTGGATATAACGCTGCGTGTTCATGTTACCTCTGATGAAGATTAGAGGTGACCTGGAACCATAAGCTATAGCACCCCAAACCATAACTCCAACAAAGTGATGAACATGTCTTTCAACAAAAAACTGTGGATTCCTCCTTTCACCACGTCACCTTCTAACCCTGGCACGACCATCGTGCATGCCTAAACAAAATCGAGACTCGTCACTAAAGACAATACTGTTCCATTCCTGATCCCAGAGTGACCGTTGTCTGCACCACTCAAGGCGATTACGTCGGTGTTCTCGGGTTAAAGGGAGGACCCAGTGTGGCCGGTATGAAAACAAGCCAAAACTTCTCATTCGTCGGTAAACACTTCGCATGCCAATAGGTATTCCGTGTTCTGCAAACCATTCATTTGCAATGGACCTGGTAGTGGAGAAACGGTCCCTTAGGCGGCGATCTTCACGGTCTGTTGTTCTACGGCGGCGTCCGGTGCCCCTTGCTCTTTGCGTACGGCCTTCTCGAAGCCATGCCTGACAATACCTAACCACAGTGTCTACACTTCTTTGCACTCTAACTGCAATTGCCCGAAAAGAAAGTCCAGCTTCTCGAAGTCCCACTATACGGCCCCTATCAAACTCACTAAGTTGACGAAATCGTACAGGTCTCCGTACTCTAGGCATCGTAACCGATCGTAAAGGATGTCAAGAACCAAAATCCGCCAACGTTAATTCTTTACTGCGGCTGAAATATTCATTTTTAAAGCGTTAGTTAATTAAAAAAAAGCAGTATAAAAACCGGAATGTCCAACTGATAAGGATGAAAATTTTTTCACTTGTTATTTACAGTAAGATAAATACATTCACCAACTTTTATTAAAATAAAACCATTTAAACTGGGTGTTCGGATTTATATGTCACTTAGTATATGTGACATCAAAAAAACATGATATTTCATTTTCGAAATTTGAAAATTTCTCCTACGAACTCAGGTCTTTTGCCTCGGTTTCAATGATCCAGCTACGCCAATGGCCAGAGAGAGGAGTGAGAATAGCCGTAGCATGTTATTTTTGAAATAGGCCCAAGTTGTACTATACTAATTATCCCTATCTTTTTTTTTTTAGGTGTGTGATGTCAATGAAGAGATTGGCCATCCTGTCTGCGATCCACAACGATGGGAGGTTGAACGCCACAGAAATGAACCCCACACCAGCATCACCCCCTGTACCTATACACGGGGTAAATATCATGCTGGGAGGGTGAGTATAGAAAAGAAATAGTAATGGTAGGGTCACTCAGCGATGAAACTATACAGTGTGAGTCTTCATAAAGTGCACATATCAAAATCAGGGAAACTACACTCTATTTCATCGACGGATAAATCATCAAAAAAACATGAATTTGATTTTTTATGAATATATGAATATTTTAAAATTTTTAGTAGCAGCTTCTAAGCATATTGAAAAGTGAAGAATTCCAGGAAAAGTAATGACATCCATTTAGAATAAAGAAAATTTTGATGAAAATCTGTTTTCTTTTAACATTTTTACAATAATTTCAAATTTTCTATAAATATCGTCCCTTGTACCCTACCTTTTTTTATTTGTAAGTTATTCTACATGTTATCAGCTTTATAAAAGTAAAAATTGCACGTTTATTACTCAAATGTAACAGTTTCTATGAGTGTTCATAAAAAAGCCCATGCGCATCGTCTTGCTAGGCACCTTTGTTTATCAGGTAGATACCTTTTTTTGGTGATTCAATGTAGAGTCGCGCGGGCTGAAGTACGAGTGGGGAGGCGGGCCCAGTTGAAAAACAATTGAATGTTGGGCAGTTAGGCAGCTATTTGTGTTTCTCCTGCCAACTTTATCAGTTTCGTTTGCTACATATCACGCTTTCGCTTTTTGGTCGTGATGCCACGTATAAGTGATTTCCCTCCGGCACACATTGCCGATATCCATTATTATTATGGAATATACCGAGGGAGTGCTAGAGAGCTGCTTGCACAGCTTATCTAGCTGCATTTCCAAATCGACGCCCTGTTCCATCAGCCCGTAACTTCCAAGAAGTACATAGAAGACTGGCTAACACTGGACTTGGTTTGCCTCGAGATCGCCGCGAACCAGGTGTTATTATTCATGTTGCTATCGAACAAGCCATTTTGGATGATTTGTTTGCTGACCCGACTACTAGTACGAGACGTTTGGCGTTACGTCATGGCGTATCCCAGAAATCGGTTTGGCGCATCTTGAGGAAAGCAGGGTTGCATCCATACCATTGTCAAAGGGTGCAGCACTTGCATGAAGATGTGGATTGGCGTCCAAGGTGCGTTATGTCTACATGGATTTTAATAAAAACAAGAGACAATCCTGAATTCCCGAAAACAATTCTGTGGACAGCACTGCTTCCAATTTATGGGCAATTTGGTCGGCCTACTGAGGGAGCTATTCGGAAACAATTCTGTGGACAGATGAATCTCAATTCACGAGAGACGGCATCGTGAACTGTCGTAATTTACATAGGTGGTGCCCAAAAGATGAAAACCCTAGGCTGAAAAGGGCTTCAACATTTCAAGTGAAATTTTCTGTAAATGTGTGGGCCGCACTGATTGACAACTTTTTGATTGGTGCAACAATACTCCCGAGGACATTAAACGGAGAGAGATTTCTGGAGCTTTTGCGGACTGAACTGCCCTTGCTGTTGGAAGAAGTGCCGCTGCAAACCCGTCGAAGAATGATGCTTCAAATGGTTGGATGTCCTGCCCATTACTCGCTGATTGTCAGGTCTTTTCTTAATGGAAATTATCCAGGCCGCTGGATCGGTCGACAAGGATCTGTTGGGTGGCCGGCGCGTTCTCCAGATCTCACACCTCTCGACTATTTTTTATGGGGGACAATGAAACAAAGGGTGTACAGCAGTTCCATAAACAGCGAAGCGGAACTTGATGAAAGAGTTTTGCGTGTTGCAAACGAAATCAAAAATGATCCCGAGATGATTCGTAAGGCAACTCATCAAATTTCACTTCGCGCTACAATGTGTTTGCGGCAACAGGGTGGCCATTTTGAACATTTGATGCATTAAGCCAAAATGATTATCCTATAGACAAGTCTATTTGATTTTATTTGTTAAAGATAATGAATGATTCATGTAGGTTAATACTGTTGTTTTATTCCTACTCTGGCGTTGAACTGAGTTCACTGCTTTTTGAAACGCTGAGTTAAAAACTTGTATCTAAGTAATAAACTTGCAATTTTTCACCATTAGGAAGCTAATAACATGTAGAATAACTTAACATTTAAAAAAGGTAGGGTAAATAGGACAATTTTTATTGAAGTTTAGCAATTGTTTTAAAAATCATTGAAAACATAGTGAGTTTCAGCATATTCCTCTTTATTTTAAATTTATAGCATTTAATTTCGTGGAAATTTTCACTTTACTGGTACGGCCTATTATTTGCAATCACTACAAAATTTATTCCAATATGATAGGACATTCAGTTTAAAAGTTGTAACGATTTATTTAAATAGGGTTAGCAGCTGACTCTAAAAATTTTAAAATATTCATAAATAAACAATTATTGTTTTTTTTTGATAATTTTTCCGTCAATAAAATAAGGTGTAGTTTCCTTGATTTTGCTATGTGCACTTTATGAAAACTCATATACCTAATATATATACCATATACCTAATTTACTCAGCGTCAAAACAAACATCAGAGCTTGCTCGCCGCTTCTCTTTGCTCGTCGGTGCCTGCCCAGGCATTTGTGACCGTCTGACAGGGAGTAAATGAGATCTGGATACACAGTAGCTTCTTTCTTCAGCAAAAAAATCAATCAAGTAACTATAACTGCCACTGTTAGGTTAAAAAAAAATCTGTCATACTTTGGGATTGCAACAGAGACAGCATCCGCTTTTCCATCTCTATTGAATCGTTTCCAGGTTATGCTATGGCAAATTTGAAAACGTCAGTAACTTGGCTACCAAAAGTCTACGTTTTCGAACATTTTCGCGATTTCAATACTTTTTAGACAGTAGACGTGGGAAGTAAAACAGAACAGGAAACGTATCTTTGCTAGTGACCCAACTATTCGTAGTCTCTAAGCTTTAGTACTCAAGTATTCAGTACAATACCGTGCAGATGTCTTAGGTCACCCTACTTTTCTAGATAATTCAGCGACTTCCATGCAAAACGTGTAAATGCTTCCTTATAGAAATATTCTATTGAAGAGATGTGCACTGAAACTGCTCCCGTTTCCGCGTTCCTTTCAAATATCTTACGACTCTGTCATTTTCTCAGGGGACTGGAAGCTCGTATTCAACCAGTCCCAAAAAAAAGATCGAATATTGATCCGAACAAGTGCGAGACTATTGCTTTGCAGCTGCAATTAATTTCCTCAAAAACGATTCTATTTAAACTCTAGGTAGCACTGAAATAACTATACATTTTTAAATATCACTGCCAAAAGTGTCGCTCTAGTCCGTTCACGTGTGGTGCTAGAACCATAAGATAAGTTTGCACTTGGTTGTTTAGACTCACTATTTCACATCTCGGACAAACAAAATTTGGAGCAAATGTTTACATAATATATAAATATTTCTAGGAAAATCTACGTGTTCCGTATCAGAGTAAGTTACATCAGACTGATAACAGTAATTAAACCAATAAGTATACTAAGTGACATATAAATCCGAACACCCAGTTTAAATGGTTTTATTTTAATAAAATTTTGTATAAGTACTTAATGAAGCATAATAAGTAAATGATAAAAATTTCAAAATGATTGCACTGCTTTAAAGCCCTTTGACCTTTAATAATGTGTGGAAGCACCCTGATGTGCTACGCATTCTCCAACGCGTCTAGGCATGCTTCTGATCAGGTGGTCAATGTCCTCCTGTGGTATCTCATTCCAGGCAACCACCAACTCCTCTCGAAGTGCTTCTAGAGTCTGAGGAGGACGTTGCAAATTGAGCAATCTCCTACCCATCATATCCCACACGTGCTCAATTGGGGATAAGTCGGGAGATCTTGGTGGCCATGGTAACAATGTGACATCATTATGTTGAAAGAAGTCTATTGTGACTCTTGCAACATGTGGTCGGGCATTATCTTGTTGGAAAGTTGGATCTGCCAGGATGTCAAGATAGGGTAAAAGATGGGGTTCTAGAACTTCGTGAATATAACGCTGCGCGTTCATGTTACCTCTGATGAAGATTAAAGGTGACCTGGAACCATAAGCTATAGCACCCCAAACCATAACTCCAACAGTGTGATGAACATGTCTTTCAACAAAAAACTGTGGATTGCTCCTTTCACCACGTCGCCTTCTAACCCTGGCACGACCATCGTGCATGCCTAAACAAAATCTAGACTCGTCACTAAAGACAATACTGTTCCATTCCTGATCCCAGAATGACCGTTGTCTGCACCACTCAAGGCGATTACGTCGGTGTTCTCGAGTTAAAGGGAGGACCCAGTGTGGCCGGTATGAAAACAAGCCAAAACTTCTCATTCGTCGGTAAACACTTCGCATGCCAATAGGTCTTCCGTGTTCTGCAAACCATTCATTTGCAATGGACCTGGTAGTGGAGAAACGGTCCCTTAAGGCCAATAATCTTAGGCGGCGATCTTCTCGGTATGTTGTTCTACGGCGGCGTCCAGTGCCCCTTGCTCTTTGCGTACGGCCTTCTCGAAGCCATGCCTGACAACACCTAACCACAGTGTCTACACCTCTTTGCACTCTAACTGCAATTGCCCAAAAAGAAAGTCCAGCTTCCCGAAGTCCCACTATACGGCCCCTATCAAACTCACTAAGTTGACGAAATCGTACAGGTCTCCGTACTCTAGGCATCGTAACCGATCGTAAAGGATGTCAAGAACCAAAATCCGCCAATGTTGATTCTTTACTGCGGCTGAAATATTCATTTTTAGAGCGTTAGTGAATTAAAAAAAAAGCAGTATAAAAACCGGAATATCCAACTGATAAGGCTGATCATTTTTTCACTTGTTATTTACAGTAAGATAAATACATTCACCAACTTTTATTAAAATAAAACCATTTAAACTGGGTGTTCGGATTTATATGTCACTTAGTATATAATTATTATATTTTTCTCTATGTATATACAATGTATCACAATATCGTTTATTACTTCTATCACTCATTCTCTTATTCGCTATACTCACAGTTGCCGATGGAAGAATATCACTCACCTGAAAAAAACAGAAAAATATATTTATATCAATACAAAAATATTTTTCT